TTATATCTCTTTCTCCAACAAATGGTATTAGAAATTTAGAACAATTACACTATATTTCCATTTTATTTTCTTCTTTTTGTTTTTAAATGGCTGATTTGATAATGAAGTCATGGCTCTCCCTATCTACATGCATTTTCTATGGATCAAACTATAGGGCAACATAAAAGTCGAAAGATCTTTAAATCATGCATTAATACTTTGCATTAGAAAGTTCAATGCCCATTACATCATAATGTTCCTATCCTTGTATGTTTGGCAACAAAAATAAAAGAAGCAACAAAATACTTTTTTTCCACAGCATTTGGAGGGAAGAGGAGAAGAGTGAATAAATTGACAGATTTGATTCCACCATCCAAGTTGGCATGATTGGAAAGAGCTTTTGATACAGAAAAGAAATCAATTGTCTAAACGCAAGTTGTTGATTTTGGCATCTTTAGTTTAGTGCCCTTCCTAGTCTTCAGCATATCAATATGTTTCAACCTTCCTTGCTTTTTAGGGGTGGGACTGTAACTCTAAGGCAACCTTCCTTACAAACCGGATGGATGCATCAAGAACACAAAAGCAAACAATCGGCTGTTCAGGATTTAACATCATTCAACAGCTAAGAGGGAAACACAGTACTATTCACACAATAAAGAAGGATTTAGCATCAAGAGGGAAACACAGTACAGAGGATTTTCGGATGCAGATCTAACATTTGTCAAGAACAACACTTGAAACGGAACTGAACAGAGAGAGAGAGAAAGAGAGAAACTTACATCGTGAGTTTCTTCAAGATGGAGCCTTGGCAGGTGGACCGGTGGAGAGCTTCAGCAGGCGATGGAGACCTCCAATGGTAAAATGTGAAGCAGAATAGGGTTTCAGGGAGAGTGTGAAGCAGGGGATCAAAGAATAGACTGTGGGCGGATCCTAACCACAAGATTTTGCTGTTGCTGCTAAATTGGGGTGTGGACGGGACCGGTCCATGATATAGTGTGGACTGGTCCCGTCCACAGCCAACCAAACAGGGTGTTCATCCCATGGACCAGACCAAAACGGTCCATCCATGAGATGAACACGAAACCAAACACCGCCTAATTTTCCTTGTTCAACATTTTTTTTTCCATCCCTATCATCCTTGTCAGGTCCTCGTTAAGGCTAACCTGCATCAAACCCAATTCGTAAGCATCACTAAGTCATTTTTTTCCTTTCTATTCCTTATTGTTAGAGGTGGTGTCATGTTGTTGGTTTAGATAATTTGGTGATGTTGCGTTATTTCTCTCTTGTTTGAAGAGGACTTGAGATTATGTTTTTTCTTTAAATGAAAACTGAAACCAAGTTTATCATAATTCTAGACAGGTGACAGATAGTTATAATGAAATATTCATAAATCTTATATAACAAGTGAGATAGTAACATTTAAAAATTTGTAAATATAATCTTCGTTAAGAATAGCATACTGTTTATGGATCAGATTGGAATTGGTTGTTATCCGGTCGGGTTGGGTTCAACAACTCTTTCATTTAGTCAGGTTGGGGTTGGGGTGCCCGAATGTGACCTGCTGACAACCCTAATCAGGACCAATGGCCCTTTTAAGAGGCAAAGTGCAATGGTCAAATATTAGGCAGCAACATAAGAAAAGTGGGTTCCAGTCTCTTTTTTTTTTTTTTTTTTGTAGGAAGTTGGTTCCAGTCTCGGCAGCTACTTCATGCAAGATAATGCCAAAGGTTTGGTCACTATCCAATCTGTCCAGCCGGGACCAGACATGAAATTTGTAAAGTTTTTCGGGAAGAACCACGATGTGGATGCACTTGCTGAAGGTAATTAAAGAGATAAATCAGTATAAAAAAGTTTGATTCTGGGTCCCTCTTATACTTTCTTATTTACTTTTGTCGCATGAATTTTGTAACCTCTGTTTCTCAGGGGCGACTTTTAGTTTAGTCTTTCTGTGCTTGAGGATCTAGTTAATTAGAGAAATGCTACTTTATATGGTGAGACCGCCAAAACTGGAATGATAGTTCAGGTATACTTTGAGCATATCCATACCAGTTTTTCCAGCATTCAAAAAAAAAAAAAAAGTTTTTCCAGCAAAATATCAATGTAAAACAACATTTGCAGCAGCATCATTTAGAAATTAGAAGTGAGATTTTTTAATATAAATTTTCTTTTGGTTTAGACATCACATATAGTAAAGTGTACGTGTCATTGATGTTTAAAATCATTCAACATCTTTGAGAAAAAAGAGTAAATGATCCGCCATACATGTAAGTAAAACTTGCAAATACTATTGTTAATCAAATCGGAAGCAAATGAGTTCTTCATCATCATGATCACCACATCTATGGGGTGGGCTACATGAATTCTGTTTCACCACTGTTGTGTAAAGTGGGTTCATCTATCTGGGACTGAAAATTTTGAATCAACCCAATCACCTGTTAGTCTATGTTAAGATTAAATGATGGTAAATCTAGATGGTATTTGGTTCTTTGGCCATTCATTTGAAAATTGGCGTCAGTTCATTGCCACAGGTGTTTATTCCAAAAATGCTATTTGGTAAGAGTTTATTAAATAGATATTTTCTTGATTTATGTGAGAGCCAACTGTTTGGGAAACACTATTTTTAATGTTCTTCCAATACCTAGCTGTTTATATGCTGTACAGCTTATATGTTTCTTCCAAAGTGTTTGGGACGTTTAGCGAGTGAAGATCTTTCCCGGTTTCGCAAACGCAAGCACAATTCTTCAGACATCAAATTCTTCACATAAATTATTTGAACCTCGCCTAGCCCATTATATTTTTGTGAAATGATGCACAATTGTTCTCAAAACCAATTCCAATGAACCTCGCCTCGCTCGTCGTCGATGAAGCGCAAATATAAAATGATACACAATTTTCTGGACTTTTCATTGGATTAATTCTACCCTCATTTGTCTAGCCTTCGGTGAGCAATATTGAAGGTATATTTGTCATTCCAGTTAAACACGTGACATTTTAATCTTGCAGGAAGAAGAATTTCAATTGCAAGTAAAGTTCAAATTTAGTTATGTCAAGTTTGTTATACGTGGGTTAGCCAGGTTCCTTAATTTTAGGAAAGAAAAAGCTCAATAGTATTTATCATTCCAATTTCAAAACATTTCTTTTTCTTCCAACCATTTGGACACCTGTCAACCCAGTTTCAAGAACATAATAGTGGGTATGCACGTTATAAATAAGTGACCCACTTTAATCAGAAGTTGTGCTAACCACTCTAATTAACTGAAGTGGTTTATCAACATACTCTGTGGTTTATCGACATACTCTCTACATATGAGGTTCAAAGCACCTGTCTGCAACTGCGCACTTATAACTGTCCATAAATTAGATACTGCTCAGAACCAAAATCTCTCCCCATTCCCGCTACTTTTCATCTGAGCTTGGAGTTGAAGAGAAGTCCAACTCCGACGATCGTTGTAGCAGACACAGCGGAGGTATTCCACATCCTTCTATGAAATCACTATATGAACAAACGTTGAATCGTCGAAAGCCCCGAGTCCTGAACAGTAACTATATGTATTCCTTTCAATCCGTCGTTGATCTCTCTCTTTTTGTTCCTATTATGTTTTTCCTAATCTTAGTTGCTTTTGTAGTAGATTGATTGATATTTCGAGAACGAGGGAAGTTGTAGTAACAACTTAATCGGAATTATGAAGTTTGCGATCTTTTTGTTCTCGATTTTGATCTTGGGAGGTGGAATATGGCTGGCAAACAGAGTGAGTACTGACTGTGAGAAGTTCCTTGAAAAATCCATTATCGCTCTAGGGTGTTTCTCTTGTTGGTGTCTCTCGCCAAACTCATAGGTGCACGATACAGGTCTCATGGCTTCTCTGAATTTACCTCTGCGTGATGTTCCTCCTCATTGTTCTTCTTTTCTGCTTCATGATCCTCACTTTCGTGGTGACTAACAAGAGTGCAAGAGAGGTTTTGTCGTGTAAAGGGTATAAGGAGTATAAATTAGGGGACTATTCAAATTGGTTGCAGAAGAGGGTTAACAACAACAAAAACTGCAACAAGATCAAGAGTTGCTTGATGAATAGTTATGTCTGCAATAGCCTTAGCGATGCCACCGACACAGTTGAACAGTTTTATGCTCGGCACTGGTCATCGATTCGGGTGTGTAACATCATACCCTTGTTCATATCGTTTTATTTATTCTTTGTGTACAAATCTAAATGTGGGTACTTTTATTTTTTTTTCAGAATCCGTTTCATCTGTATCAGCTCTTCTCTTTTTCTTTATCAACTTTAGGGATTTTGATCTTGAAACTTTTTGGTAGATCCCCTCCCATTTTTTGGATTTCCTACCTTTATCTTCTTGTTTGACAGCATTATTCCTTGAAACAAACATTTGAGAAAATTTCCTTCACTTTGTACAAATTACAGTTGATTTGGGTATCTACCATCTATCACCACAACAGTATGACTGAATTTTCACTGCATTTTTGTAACTGGGTTTTATTAAAAAACTACTGATTGAAACATGAATTTTCTTTTTGACTGATTGCTCAACATTGGTTTTTGTTATTTTTCTTGCTATTTCAATTTTGATATCTCAATCTTTCCTGAGATGCCGTTTAGATTATAAGTTCAGTTTTCTACAATTCACTTTCCCAGAACGTTGTCCTCTGTTTTCAAGTGTTAGCCATAAAAATGGCTCATGATATGAGCCATCAGTTTTAAGCACACAGCGGGCATAAAGAGAGCATATATGTCCTTTACTCTCATTTCAGAAATTGCCCACTCATAACTGTTAAAAAATTATCCACTTATAAGTTATAACCGTTCAAACACTACTCATGAACTATAAATAATTGTCTTAGATACTGCCAACGTGCAAATGCACGTAGGCGTTTACTAGTCGGGATTAGTAGAGAAAACGTTGGAAAGGGCTTGCCGCTTGCCCAGAACAATCAAGAGGACATGGCAGCCACAAGAATAATAAACAGAATAACCATTGTTCTCAAAAACAACCATCTTTATACCGTCTGGTGCCAAAATTTTGATGTATATACTGACATGTAATTGGTGGACCAATTACTTTCTGTTTCGGACTTGAAAGGTACAATTATCATCCTTGATGGAAACAAGGGTAATGCCACTTTTTTAAGAATAAGCAGCTTCTTATCTTATTACAAATAATGGAATGAATAGGTGATTAAAGAAGCCTAACATGAGCCACAGACAGGGTCTTCTGGTAAAACCTGTTATTTTTTATTCTTATTTTTTGAATCAGCAACTGTAACTCTGGTATAACCTGTATTATGTTGCTCGGAGCCTCAAACTGTAAAGTCAAGCCACATCAAGGCCACAATGTATTTTCTTTTGGTCCAAATTCTGGCCCAATTGATTTCATCACGTATTTAAGCTTATATATTTTAACGCTGGCAACTTTAACCCCATTCAATATCTGACTGATTCAGGCAACTTAACGCTCCCCTGATGCCGTGTGAACTGATGGACATTCAGGCATTCACCCCTGAATCTTATAGCAAAAGAGGTAACCTCGTCTTTAACACACAAATAAAGTCATCGTCGTTGTAACTCCATCCTGCAATCAAAACACATTCTTTATTACAGATTGATGCAGTTAGAAGATCTGTACCATGAATATATCATTACTAAGAAAGTAGAAACATTTCAGTTTCTGATCCCAGAGATTAAATATCAGGAGGATTGCAAAATGGAAATTTCATTCAGACCCATATGTACAAAATTCCCCATATGCTGAGCAATTCAAAGAACTATGAAGCGAAGAAACTGCCTCTAAACATCCACTGAAAGCTTACCAGGAAAAGAATTGAATAATCACCAATAGCTAAATTGGCAATGTATCATGCACTTCACTTGTCCACTTCTTCAGGAATATTAGCTCGACCCAGATAAACCTGTTGCATCTCCTCTCTCCATATCTGTAAAAAATTGTTTGAATTTTTGTTAACTTTCATCTTCTCTATCATTTTTTTTATGAACATTTCATCTTCTCTATCATTCTTATTTAAGTTTCTGTTTTTTGAATGAGTTCATTTCAACTTTTGTGCAAAGTTGGTCCAAGCCTGGATGAAGACCCAACCTTTGTTCTTGTGCAAAGTGGTCACTCTCAGAGTTGAACCCATGTTCTCACTTGTCAGCCCAGGATTTTATCATAACACCAAGCAATAGCCCTTAGTTCATCACAATACAGATCCAAGATAAAAACTTTTAGGTGGAAAACAACAGATGAAAACATACCATGTCCCGGAACTCCACACGGATATGAGGCACATTTGTTTTGTGAATATCATTCCCATCTGGACCTCTCTTGTAGTATGATCTCCCAATCCAGTGTGACTAGTATGAAAAGAGTTCGAACACATCAGTTACAGGTAAAGTAATTTTACCAGTGTCGTAAGTATGTAGGATTTAATTTAACTTGAATATTATCTACATGCCAACATGCCATAGAAAACACTTTATGTTGCTTATAGTTGAGAAGCACAGATTGGACATGGTAGAACAGGCATCTCAATAAAATCAATCAGCAACGAAGTTTCTGCTCCCAAACATTGTGAACTAAAATATGTATGTAGTTCCAAGTTCTCACTGATAGCAGCACTGTACAATGAGAGAGATGATGGCAGTTTTTAGTAAATAAACAAATTAGGGAAGAAAAGGTCCTTATTAATGCCCTTCTAACATGTATGCCTGTATGACATAGCCGGATTATATCACTCAAGTCTAATCAAAGAACCAAATAGGTATACTCTCAATAAGAGCTCCTATAGATATGACACAAGGAGGTTCTATGCCACTTCTGACACACTTGCCAGATTTTCAGTGCTAACCAGTCAGATAGGGGATTTCTCTCATCTTGCTGTTTTACTTAAATAATTCCAAGAATGGATGATAGCATATCATTCTGGCTATGCCAAGTTTTTAGTAAATAAACAAATTAGGGAAGAAAAGGTCCTTATTATTGCCCTTCGAACATGTATGCCTGTATGACAGCCGCATTATATCACTCAAGTCTAATCAAAGAACCAAATAGGTATACTCTCAATAAGAGCTCCTATAGATATGACACAAGGAGGTTCTATGCCACTTTTGACACACTTACCAGATTTTCAGTGCCAACCAGTCAGATGGGGGCATATCATTCTGGCTATGCCAAGTTTTGTAGAAGTTTCACTATAACTTTCCCTGTGCAGGAATAACTAAAAAAGATTTTGAGGGAGTATCCTAAGAAAAAATTATGTAGCTTCCTAATAAAGCCCATCTGATTTTGTTATCTTCTCATCTTAAAAAAGAGTGCCACAGACCCTAGAGTCCAGATACATCTTAAAGAAATCTGTAGTGATATTAAGAAATAATTGGTGCAGCATACTGTGCCATGTGGAAGCACAATAGAATCCAGTTTCAGCTTACTGCCTTGCCAGAAATAAACACTAGTATTGTGTGCTAATGTTATGTACCTTCAAAGCATGCGAAAAGCCTGACTGGTAAACTGAATTGCGGGCGATCTCACATAGATCACATGAGCTCAACTTCCAAACCTGTAAATTAGAGATTAGTTTCTTTAGAGCTAAATTATCTGCCTATATCTGTACATAAGGACATACATACATATATATATATAGAAAGAGAGAGAGAGAGAGATCTTACAGAAGCTGCAATACTGTATTCTTCCACCAAGGGTTCTTTTGTTAAATGGATTTGTAATGGATCATCCGTAGAAAGTGAAACATTGAGGCCACGTAGGAAAAACATTGGGAAAGGGTTCCGATGATAATCTAGAAATAAGGAGTTGTTGCTGAGAGGAGACATAGCCAGGCCAATCTATAAACCAAAATGCCAACAGAGTTAAAAACATGTGAGAGAAACTCATTTAAAATAAAATTAGCTGATGAGAACATTCCTGTTACCTGTGCAAGGTAATACAAATATTGAAGGACAGGAGATTTTCTCAAATTGATCCCATGGGCAATGTTATGAGCCGTAAGAAAAGTTGCAGCAAGGTGATCAATGTCACCAGCCTGAAAATAACAATGCACATGAGACAACCACTAAAACATTGGATTATGTGCTAGCCTGATTAGTTGAAAAGAGTCCATGGATACCTCTCCTGAATGTGGACGGAAAGTGATTGTTGTCATGCCCTTTGATTCACGAAGCTGACAGATTACAGTAAACAGATTAGTAGTCCTTTAATGCAGTCCCAGAACATTAGATCAGATGAAGCCTCCATCCATGCATAAATGAGGAACAAATCTATCTATTGTGCGTGGTAGGGGGAGGGTCAACAGATAAGATGATCAATATCTGATGAGGCTGTTTTTTCGATCATCTACAGGCTTTGATTGAAATGTCCAAACAATACTGCCATTCATGTGGTACAGGTGGTATAGGCAGGAAGAATGTCTTTCTGCATTATAACTCTTTGACAGTGTATAAGCTGTAGCTACTATGATCCACCAAAGCAGACTAACTGACTTTCTAAGCATGTGTATTTGGCAAAGCAGGAAGAAATAGCTGTTCCAGAAAGTTTAATTTGTACCTTATTTAGTATATACAGGTTGGCGTAACAGTAATACACATAGTATGAGTATGCAGGATTAAAAATATTTGTCCATTGAGCTGGTGTTGGCATGTGTTTCGTTGGACGTCTTTCAGGCTTACTTTCATCATCCACCAAATCGAATCCCACAACCTGAAAAAGATGAAGATGATGATGATGATGATTCCAATTGACATAATAAAGTTTGAATATATCAATTTGATGATTCCAGAAAATAAAACAGGAAGCAATTCTAACTTTATACACCAACCATCTTTTATTCAATTTGCAAAATGTAGATCATGGCACATAAAACTACATGGAACTAAAAAGGGATAAAACATTGGCTTCAAGTAAAAAGGGAGGAAAAAACCATTTCACAATAAGGCAGCTTCAAAATGTAATTTGCATTCATGGAGTTTCCAAATGCAATTCTACCATAAAATTGTTTCTTCTGTTCCCCTGAAGGATTTTGTTACTTGTTTGCAGTGCTTGATTCCCTCCAAAAAGTGCCTTATTTAATGAGGTGCATCTACAAGTTAACAGACCAGTGGGATTCCACATGGTTTAAGATCAATATAATAAAAGCAAACCAAATCACCACTTCATGTAATGTTCACATGTGATATGCAAATTGCACCTCAATCATTTTCCATCTATGCCCTCCTTTGACCACATTCACATCTGTACTCAGAACATTTTGAATCCAACTCAATCAATGTGCTTACAGAGATCAGAGAGAAAAGTTTATCTTTAAGAGTTAAATTTCCCTTCCTTTGTCAATGTGCAGCCATGGAAAAGCCACACATTATGTGGTGCACAAACCAACTTAACCTTTAACCTAAATAGTGGGAAATTGGAAAAAATACAGTACATATCTCAAGAAACAAAACCTACATTTGCAGTGCATCAGTTTAATTCAGAAATCTCTTATGATTGATACAACATGCAACATTCTTACTCACATTCATAGTTTTAGCCAACCTCGAACACAAACTACAATGAAAAATTATATTCATATAACAGGAATGAGGCAAACCTGCTTCAAGAAAATATGCAAATGTGGGTGTGAATCTGGGTCAACAGTAACCTCAAAAAGGGGAAGGAAAATATTGTCAAGCATGTTCTGGAAAGATGTCACAATGCCCATTTCCTTGTATACATTGTACAGCCTTGGCAGCTGGAGAAACCAGAAATTTCAGATAAATGTAAAAACTTGTAGGTATAATAAATGACAATTAAAGATGCTAAGTGTATTTTCCTTATCTAATGAAACCTTCATAATCCATGAAAAGAAAATCCGCAATGACATGATACGATTTCAATTATATATGATTTATGCATGAAAGATCTCTTTCGAAATAAATAGAAGATTAAATTATATGATTTATTGCATCCAATATCATTTATGGATTGACTGGAACAAATAGAAGATTATTCCAACTGGAGGAATCAAACAAAGCTCTCTTTCAACAATATATTCAAGCAAATTCATCAGCAGGATTTCAGCTAGCCCAAGGGAAATGGTGTCAACACAAAAAGGGTACCTTAGTTTTTTTTTTTTTGTCAAAGGTGAAGTAGGAATTTTCTTGAAATTTGTAAAGAGGGTATTTAATAAGAATTCATTCAAAATTTGTGGCAGATGTGTTTGAGTCTATGAAAAGTCAATTCATTCAATGCTTGGGTTTTCATGTGTATGCCTATCAAATGTAGGGTAAAGAGATTATTAACCTTAGAGGCTGTTTGATTACAGCTTAAGTGGCTGAACTGAATGACTTACTGCCTTGTATTTTAGTGAATAAGTTATGAAGGAGGTTGTGAGCTCCTTAGGGTTGAAGCTGAAATTGGGTTAATTACCATATCTTCAAATCTTTTATCATTTAATTATTTTATCCACCAAAAGATAAAGCATCAACCACTTCAGTTGTTTATCAAGTGGCCCCTTAATTGGTGTGTGGGACATTGCTTGGTATGATGGTAAAAGCTCGGGCTGGAAAGCAATACAATGCAGGTTTGAGCCTGAGAATGGCCACTGCAAAATTTGCTATAGTTATTAGGCCTCCAGGTGATGGAATGGTGAGGGGTATTTTCTCGAATGATCTTTTCCCTTCTTTTTCTATTTATTAAATTTTATAATCTATTAAAAATATTATGGGGTAAAGAAAAACCAAAAATGGGGCATTCTTGGGGACAAAAGTGTAGGAAAGTACCTAGGTCTAGAAAAATGCAAAATATTAAAAGTCTAGGATATCGTGTATATAGTGTTCCAAGGTTTCAATGTATACGAGTCATGAGTTATATAATGGGATTAGAATGATGCCCAGCCACTTACCAAGAAGCCCTATCCAGACCCCCATCCCACCATTCATCCCTGCTTCTAGTTGGGGGCATTTTCTTTTGAGCTCCTGGGCCTTTCCACTTGGAAAATCACTGGCTTGAGGAAGAAGGCTTCAAAGATAAAAGTTTGAATTTGGTGGAATGCATAAAACATTAGGAAAAGAAATACACATATAGGAGGAATTGGGAAGCATTTCCCAAGAGGAGAGAAAAATTCAAGTCAATTCAAAGCTGATGTTTGATAGACTTACCTACAAGGAAGAGCTTATATAAGAAATAAACAACAAAGAGACCCAACCTAGATGATCTTCAGTTCAAGCAATTAACTTCAGTCCAACAAGCTGCCAGCCTGCCATTGAAACCCCCTTAAGTGAGGAAATTTGGGAAGTAATCAAGGACAAAATAAGCCCCTGGTTAGATGATTTTGACATGTGTTTCTTCAAGAGTTCACCATGAGAACTTTTTTTTTTGAAGGAAAGGTAAAGTAAATTTATTAAAAAACAGAAAAGCATGGTACAACAGACTCCTAGGGTGAACACCCCCACCCAGGAAGAAACAACAGATTACACCTCCCACAAATTTCTAGACTTAAGCAACAGAGACACATTCTGATGCTTAAAATCTTTTACAACCAAGACCCAAGATACAACTCTACTAACAGCCTGCTGAATTAAAACATCCAGACTCCTCTTCTTGTTACAAAAAATTCGATTGTTTCTTTCAGCCCAGATAGTTCCTAACACAATGGCAGGGATGATTTACCAAGCACACTTTGCTAAGAGAACAATAAAACCTGAATTGTTGAAAGACTTTGCAGATTTCCACAAAAATGACTCTATTGAGAGACATCTCATCAATACTTTCATTGCCTTAATGGCTAAAAAAGGTGGGGCAGTTGACATCAAGGACTTTGGGCTAAATCAGATTAGTGGGAATTATTTACAAGATTCTGGTGAAACTGCTTACAACTAGATTCAAATGAAATTTATCCAGCATCATCAGAAACTCCCAAGAAGCTTCTGTCCCAAGTAGACAAATGCTAGATGTAGTACTAAGTGGCCAGTGAATTGATTGCCTTGAGACTGAAACCAGGGAAGTCAGGGGTGCTATGTAAAGTAGATATAGAAAAGGCTTGTGATCATGCCAGCTGGGACCAATATTAGGTAATGTGATCTTTTCATCTTCTTGAAAGAATGAATTTTGGTGGCAAATGGAGAATCTGGACAAAAGTATGCATCTGAACTCCTAATTCTCCATCCTTCTCAATAGATCTCCAACTGAATTCTTCAAGAGCTCAACGGGGCTCTGTCAATCTGACCCCCTCTCCCCACTTCTCTTCATTTGTGTCATTGAAGCTTTGTCCACCCTCACTTACAAAGCCATGGAAGGTGGTTATATTTCAGGATTTGAAATGAGTAGCAACATGCCCAAGACCTGCCTTCTCCAATTTGCTGGCAACACTTTATTCTTATTAGAGACCTCTCGTAAGTCAATTGAGAGAATAAAGAAAAGACAAGACCTATTCCCAACCAACTCCAACCTAAAAACCACTCTAACAAGAACAATCACTAAGACACCAATCTCTCCAAACAGTGACATCAAAAAACATACATCCAAACTCAAACAACCAGACAGCCCACACATATCAACTTCCATACAACAAGCTCAAACAATCAAATTACCAACCCATCCGAAAGAACAAACAGACCACACCCCCACAAATGCCAACAATCCTATAAACCAAGAAAAGCATGCAATCAGCTTTACACTCCAAACTCAAATCATCATTGTTCATCTCTCCAATAGCTTGGACATGAACCACTCTACTTCTTAAAGACTCTTTTTCACCTTCTTGTTTGGCCCTATCCCAAATGAACTCCTTTTCAATCAATCGAAAGCTTTTGAAACTAGAACATATTGATGTTTTCTCTGACTCTTAAATATTCTCACAGCAGGAGTCTCCCTGAAATCCTTCGGATCCTTAGATTTCTCATTAATCCTCTCTAATTCCAAAACCGTGTTCTCAAAATTTTGATTTGTAACCAAATTTTCTCCCTCTTCATTGACAAACCCTAAGATGGTTTCACTGTTTCTGACTTGTGAATCAACCTAGAAAAAGATCTCCTTGATCCATAGAACCAAGTACCAAACGCAGATCCTTGCAAATGTCCTCAGCTGCAAGGTTACCTTTCTACCTATAGCCTATTACCTACTTAGGCTTCTCCCCCTGGTGTAAAAGGTTCCTCCTGCTCTCTGTGGGATCCAATTGTATAGTGTGCTGTTGCTTGTCATATAAAACTCTCTTCATGGAAGGCCAGTTATGACTGGCCACTTCCTATGGCTGTATCACATTCCATAAAAAATAAAAAACAAGCAGAAAAGTTGTAAAGGGAGTTCTTGTGGAATGGGTGGAAGGATGACAAGAAGATCCACCTGGTAGATTGGGCAAAAATCTGCTCTCTGAAGCAATTGGGTGGTTTGGGACTATACATAACAAAAGATACAAACCTAACTCTCCTGAGAAAATGCCTCTCAAGATCCGATGTTGACAGGGACAACTGGTGGAGACAGATGATTGTATCCAACTATGGGCTTATAAATGGGGGGTGATCAGTTTGGAAGGGTATTCAGAAAGCTCAACCTCATTTGTTGATGAATGATAAAAGCCCAACCACATTTCCTTTAAGGCATCACTCTAAAACTAGGCAATTGAACAAGATTAAGATTTTAACACAATTATTGGTTTGGAGACAGGCCCCTAGTAGAATCCTACCCAAGTTTCTTTTAACATTGCAGCTAACAAGGAGGCCATTGTGGTTGAAATGTTCTCTCTATCTGAACTTATCCGTATAATGATCCCCCAAATTCAGATGCTCTGTCAGCTCCAAAATTACCAAATCAATGTCAATTACACAGACAGAAGAGTTGGGAGGTAGAATAGATCTGGTTGCTTTTAAATCCACGATACAAGGAGGCCATTGTGGTTGAAATGTTCTCTCTATCTGAACTTATCTGTATAATGATCCCCCAAATTCAGATGCTCTGTCAGCTCCAAAATTACCAAATCAATGTCAATTACACGGACAGAAGAGTTGGGAGGTAGAATAAATCTGGTTGCTTTTAAATCCACGATACATCATCATACTTCCAAGTTCGAATGCTCCCAGCTTCCCCCATAAATCTGTTCTGGTGGGTAATGTACAATCTAAGGTGGCCTTTCTAGTTTGAACAGCTGATCTTGGACAACGTCTAACCAACAACAAACTAATCAAGAGGGGTATAAACATTTCATCAACAAGCTGTCCTTTATGTAACTATGACTTGGAGACAGTGGAAAATCTCTTCCTGCATTGCTCCATGAGCAGACAAATCTGGGTTCATTTTCTTAACAATTTACAGTTGAGTTGGATCTTCCCTAAGATAACTCATGATTTCCTCGATAATTGGCATATTGAGGGACTGGGCAGTAAAGGCATGATTATTTGGCGCCTGCTGCCAGCCACTGTCCTATGGTCAATCTGGATGGAGGAACTGCATAGTCTTTGAAAACAAATTCTCTCAGTTTTATGACATTTGCTGTAATGTGATACTGGAAGTCCCTCCCATAGTCCCATTTATACTTCAATAATACAAATACACTTCTCTTTCTCAAGGAAAAAAAAAAACACTTTTAGTTGAAGTTATTAGCTCCTAATAGCTAAAGAAATATCTTACTTGTGCTGCATTACTATTTGTTCAGGACATAATAATTTTATAAAACAATTGGAAGTTCTAGAAACTAAAGGAACATTAATATAATGATCATCCATTTAACACTGTAAGTTAGTAAGTGCATTATTTGTACAAAAAAATAGATCAAATGTTTAAATATAACAAGAAATAAATGTCCTTGCACCTTGAACCCAAGTAACTGGTTATACAAGCAAGATGACAGTACGCATTAGACCATATTATAGAGTATATATTTTATCAGTACAGCTTGTAGTGAATTTCAACGAGACATAAAATACCTGAATTAACCAAACAACGTTTTCACTGTATAGTTCGTTATTCACTATCCAACTAGCTAATTGGTCCCACTCGCTTTGTTTTCTACCATATATTGATAACCTGTATTCAGCCATCTGCCAAAACAACAATGAACGTCAGTCACCATTGCCAATTTGGCACGTGAAAGCAAAAACAAACCACCTGGACTTTAAGATCATAAATTCATAATACCAAAGTCCATAAGACCAACCATGCATATCCTTCTAAATAAACTAAATCCTACCAAATTAAAAGTGCACCAACCAGATAAAAGATTTCCAAACCGAATATTTTCTATGAAAGTAAGTTAAAAAGATTTTGATGTTGCTTCCACTGCCCTTCCCCAATCTCTCTTAAGTTCTTTATTTAATCCTGGAAAGAATCCAAGAATCCCATCTTGAGAATCCATACAGTTATGAGACCCCATTGAACCAACAAGTTTAAGAAACGTAGGCCACAATAAAGAATCTGCTTCAGCCAAAAATCAAACTTTTTTTTGAAAAAGGTATTTTTTTATTGAAAAAAAAAACACAATGGCAGATTTAAATCCAAAGCACTGAACAAAATAAATATTTGAGAAAAGGATCTATGAAGCACCTGGTATTTACTTGCAGCAAGATCAGAAAACACTTGTTTAGTCAACTCAGCAAGGAAACGACCTGTTGGTTAGGAAAGCAAATGAAAATTACTCCTTAATAACAGAATCATGGGCAAAATACAACTGGAAAGCAGGCAAGATTGCCAACATAGTTTCAGGCTAATCAAAGAAATTATCAGATTGTATTCATGTATGTTAGCTGAGGCAAGACCCCTACTTTGGATTCTGTACTGTTTTATTCACTTTTTATATTAAGTAATTTCAGTACTATTCTGTCATAGAAAAAATATATGAATCCAAATGTGAATGAAAATCAAAAACAAACTACCACTCATGATTTAAAATATCCATAAATTTCCTAACATTTCCACAACATATTTCCATTTCTATGGGTACTGACAAGAAATTTTACAGGAATCAACATATTCTCCACTCCCTACTGAACACCACAAGCACTATGAGGAGTAGAAGAGAGAGAGTGTTATAACATAAGTTGGTGACAATATTGTAAATATGTGGAGTAGCAATGTTATTGCCTGCCTAATGGACATGATTACCACTTGAGAGTTCAATATTCTTTTCAAACATGAAGTTACATATTTCTACCAAAAAAAGGAAGTTAAATGTCAGTTTTTGTTTGTGTAATAGATTACTTGGTTGGCCTACTAGAATCATTTGGTTTTCTTTGACTTTAATTTTTGCTTGAATTTGTTCTATTATGTAGTTTTGACTCTTAGGGGGCGTTATTTTTTTGGATTTTGAGAGGGGGAAAGTTGGTCAATGGGATTTCGGTTCCCATTGACCAAGAAACCGATGTTCTTTTTCCAGAATTTATTTTCCTGGGGTAAGTGATACCCATCTCATAGGTGGGTAAATAACTTTCCCACCTAGGGGGAAAGTTGCCAACACTTGAATGGGACAAAAATGCACCTTTTAATAATGGATTTTTATGGACAAAATGGCCATTGCCTTATTTACCTGGGAAATAAAAGAACATGGGTAAATGCACTTACCCGGGAAAGTAGCTTACCAACAAACGAACGGGGCCATAAGGTTTACAGGACAACTTGACAATATATTATTTCGTCTACAACCTTAGTTTCTTAGAGTTGTTTAATGATTTAGAACAAGATAATAATTTAAAAAGGTCTGTGTACGCTACTTTTATCATTTCATAACATATCGTTCTATATTTTTGCATATTCACAATGTTTCCAACTTTCCATCATGTCTAGAATTTTATTACAATATTTTCATATGATATTTTCGATATTTCTGACATGTTTAAGATATTTGGATGACCGACACATCCACAGATACCAATATCTGCTACTTACCATGTATAGTGGCTCCATTCTGTAGACCTGCATCAGAATATTAGAAAAAAAGAATGCGCTAATCATATTGAACCATCCAGTTTTGGACAATCCAGGTCAGTTCCATGTTCACATCTAAACTATTGAGATAACAAGGAAAGCTAAATTGATGACAATAAGGTGAATGCAGTGCAAGTCTCATAGCATCCAAACATAATAAACAAGGATTGTAGAATTGGAATGTTCAAAATCTCTCTTTCAAGGTTTGTGTATTAAAACAAGAAAATTAACTAATTAATAGGGTGTACTGTGTACCTTGGATAAGATTATCCTGTTTAAGGAAAATCTCCCTGAGTCTGCTTTGACCGCAAGGATTATACTTTAGATTAAATTTATCAAAACGATGAAATGTACACTTATCAGCATGAACATCTAGCAGATCCACATTAAGATCATACCTGTCAGAAGAAACACCATAATTATCAACCAAGTCTCAAAATACATTATATATTAGACAATTTTAAAATAGTAAAACTGAATTTCATGTTACCCAGTTAAATCCAAGCTCTCAAAAACTTCTTTCAATGTCAAATATGTCCCATCTCGGAATATTACAACCTGCATAGAAGTACATGAAAGCATAGTACTTCAGTGTAATAGCAATGTGACTTGCTTTCAAAAGGAAAGGTTATATTTGTCACTAATTTCCAGGCAAACAATGGTAGAATTATTGGACAGGCTTCAGTCCTGTTGCTTGCCCAAATAAGAGCCTAAGCTGTCCTAAAGAGATAAAACATTCAAAGCTACTATTTAAAGGCTTCAATGTAATGCAAATGCAACTTATCTTCAAAATAAAATGTTCTAGTTATTAGTTCTAAGTAATCAAGTATGCAACTCTGTCAGGCAGTCTTTGATTCCATATTTGCTTATACAGTACAGTCCTAGACTAATGATGCCAAGATTCAGCAAGGAAACAGCTGGTCAAGGTGTTGGATAAGAAATTTACACTAAAAATTGAACTATCCAACACAATACGGCACCCTTGCACAGGTCTCTACATAGCATAGATCCTAATTCCTAAGTTGTTCCAAAGAGGTAATGGTTTCAAAGTCAGGTTCTTCTTATGTGAACTGACTTAGAAAAAAAGTATTGCAACAGTACAAGGGAGTTGATCCAAATCAGTACCTCATCAGGTTCTTTTCTCAACTTCGATTTTATAAACCTCAAAAGATGTTTCTGGTTCATGCATGCCGAGTGGTGAACATGTGTATCAACCTTCCTTACATTATAAAAATCACGATGGGGTGCACTTTTCTGAGCAAGAAATTCCCTATCCGCATTAAGCATCAAATGAAGGTTGAACTTCTGAATGGAAGTAAAGGTGAAAAATCAATTCAGCATTCAGCATTTTGCCATTAAGTATATAAATTTCATTCTTGTAATAAACATTTGTCAGCAGGGATAAAACCTGTTCCAGAAGAACCAGTCTATGATGACATAAAGTTCGAATATTCCCTGCAGCAATTACTTTAAGGATATGATGCAAATCAGTGAAGAAGGTCGTTGCATCAGCTACATGGAAAAGTTTCTCTTTGGCTGAAATATGACAAAGTATGCATATCATGAATTTTGGGTGGAACAGGGAAGTATTCCAGAATCAAGACTACAGACCAAACAACAAAAGGCAAGAGAAATGACTGGATTTGCATTTTACAGTATTTATTCGCATAAACTTGAACAACTCCGTCCTCCATCTGAAAATAATGCTGAGAAATTAAAAAAAAAAAAAGACAATGATAAATGGCATCAGAAAAGACCAACTTATGAAATTACATATTTTAATACTAGTCTGGATTGGAAAAATAGAAAGCACCTATTATAAAAAGTAAGAAGTCAAAGTACAAACTTACATCACTTTTCCCCTCAGGGGAATATGAAAATGGATTTGGAATAGGCTTTGGAGTACTAGGATCTGTTATTACTTCTTTCTCCCATGGAGCAACTTGCTCTCTGAACAGATAACTTTCTCGTAACTCAAGGCATTCTTGAAGTACCAGATAAGCTTCCACTTCATCCGGAGATGGTACCTCTAACCAAGGTTACAGATAAATTTACAATAATTACATTTCAGCCTCAATATTCATACAGGATTAAATACATGGTAACGTTACCTTTAAATTGTTCAGCCAACAGACAATGAAAGAGTACTTTTTTATTGATAAGCAACCATTATTACAAATAAATTTACAATAGTTATATTTCAGCCTCAATATCAATGCAGGATTAAATACACAATGCCTTTAAATTGCTTGACTGGTAGACCATGAAATAGCAACTTATAAGCATCCAGACCACAATAATAAAATAGAGAAAAATCAGGTAGCTTGTTTAGACTAAAATACTTCACCAGAATTAAAAAAACAGTAAAATACATGCACAAATGTTTGTGTTAAATTTTCTATACATCTTAAGATGCCTCATAATGTATGTATGCATCAGAAATTATATGGCAGCTTTCCAGAAGCCCCATGGAAGTTAGAAAAACATGTGCCACATTAGGAACTATACTCACAAGTCAGCTCAAAGAAACAAGAAACTAATGGCTGTGATCACCCTCTGCGTGGAATGTCATATACCAGGCACTATAAGCAAAGCAAGACCCATTTCAGGATCCACTTTGGAAGCAAATAGACCTGTTTTAATAATCACAAACTAACTAAACTAACTGCTAAATCAGTTAATTAATTAATAGCCTATGGTTACACAACATCTAGTAGCATCATTGTCAGCAAACTTGGACATAGTGCTACGGAAATAATAAGGAGAACTTAACTATTTTTTTAAACAATAAAAACATAAAATATCTGAAGGATTGTAAGCTTCCTGTCAAGTCTGCACTGCCTTCATTCCAGAACCCTTTATAGTGCAATGCTGATTGCCTTGGTTGAATTTCTAGTTAGTCACTACATTCTTCTTGCATTTGAAGTTTAACTTAAAATATAACTCTACTAGTCTAGTATATTAATGGAAGACTAAAAAATAAATAAATAAACAATAATTGGCTTCAGGAATTTTATGTTATTCCATAAATTGGTTTACTTCCTTTGCTTAATGGCCTATATAAGAAGAATCTGACAGACACTATTTTCTACACAAGATGATTATCTTTTCCAAAATTGTGAACACATATGAACAAACCATTTCTACTTGCTGCTTTTCCATTCTGGGATCTACAAGCCAATGCAACCAGTTTCTGTGTACATGGACAAAAAGAGAAGATCCAAATACAGACTGACTAAAACATGTAAAACCACTCTAATAACAAATACAAGAATTCCGAGATGCAAAGATGTACACCGACAAGAGATGGAAGGATGTGATTACCACTTGGAGTAATTTTCAACCGTACAAAAGTTTCCTGCTCTGGTTCTTTCCTAAGAATATCAGCTGCTACAGGGTCAGGCTGAACCCCATGCAGGTCACCAGATACACTATGGGACCGGATCATGCTAGCAGCAGCTATTGGCTTCTCCTCGGTATTGCCATTAATATTATCAGGCAAATTCTGGAGAAGACTTCCACACTCAGGTCCCTGTCCATCAGAGATACAAAATACATTCTTTTAAGATTCTGTCAACTGTCAAAATAATGTATAAGCCAGTGTTGTATGGACATGGACACAGGAACCAGAACCCAATACATGTTTAGGAGTCTGACTTGGTAAGACAAAAAAGCATGGACACACAAAGACTTCTATAGAATACTAAATACTATAAAGAGCCCATATATTTCAAATTTTAATAACATATACCCATAGGAAAAGGTCTAAAACTTATATTTGTTATTTTAAGAATGTTCTATAGGAAAAATACTATTCATCATGTATATTAGTTGTTCATTTATGTTAGACTTAAAAGGAAATTGCTATGTGGACGCATCCCTAAATAATCTACTGATTGTCGGAATCTAATAAACATCCAACACAGATACTTTAACTATTTAGGAGAGTCCATGCAACATTGGTATTACCACAATATGGATGAGCTTGGTGGACTAACACAAATAAAATTCCTTGAGAATATAAATATCAACTATCATGAGATTATAGGAACCTACAAGTCTACAACTGGGGTGCAGAAAGAAAAGAAAGGATGGTCCATAGTACTGTTTATATACATATGCTAATATGCATACATATACACAAACATGTAGATCGGTACCTATCTAAAAGAATGTATGCTTTTATGCAAATGTAATGCCAAGCTGCCCCACCAATGTGCAGGAATTCGCATTGCTTGCAAAGATAAGTGCATTGCAAGGCAATCCAGGGCCTCGGGTATAGGAAGGATTTTGAGAGATAAGGATAGCAACATCCTATCCTTATTTATTTTCCAGACCAGTGGGAGTTGGTGACTCTACAAGGTCTGAGATAATAGCAGCAGTACAAGGAAATGAGGAATACAGGTGGCTAACCAACTTGGAGTGGAGAACATGATAGTTGAAGGGGACACTAAGGTGGTAGTGGGTTGGACATTGGATCCAGAAACAGTTTTTTGGGGCTACAGGGATCTTCTCAAGAAAGTTAATTGGCTTACAAGGAACATGTCAGTGAGATTTCAGTGGGTTAGCAGATTGGCAAAACAATGGCTGATTCTTTGTCTAAACAAGGGGTATCAAGGGGTGAATTGTTTTGGGCTACCTTATAATAGTAATTCTGTTTAGAGTGTGATCATTTTCTCATTTCTAAGGGGAGGTAACATCTTGTGCCATCTCTTAGGATGATTGTACACTTTTACATTTCTTAATAAAACTTCCATTCATTTATCAAAAAAAAAAAAAGAAAAAAAGATGAGTGCATTGCAAAAGCACATACAAAAGTGAATGATGAACTTACAGTGTTTCCATTGGCGTGCATATATGTAGTGTCTAGTTTAGCATTATCAGTTAAATCATCCTCTTCATCGGATCCTTCAACACTCTCAAAGGCACTAGCACTAGCAACAGGAGACTTGGGACAAGTTGGTCTCATTATGTGTCCAGTTCTCTTAGTTGAGCTTGCTCTCCCTGCAGATTGTCCTGAAACAACAGTTCTAAAATAAATTAAACAATCAATGGAGGCAGAAAAAATATATGCTTTATCATTAATGAAGATTGCAAATAGTAGCTCGTAATTTTCAATGAGATGAAAATTTGACTCCTCCAGAAAGACTCTGGCATCATCTGTGCCTAGCTAGACACTGAGGCCAATCTTACAAGATAACCAAGAGGTAGTAGTAGATGTAGACACAGATAGATGCATTTCAATAGTTCATTTAACAAACTAGCAAAATTGAATATAAGTAACTTGGAGTCAAGCTATAATTGCCACCTGAGTACAACACATACTCTAATCAACTCATTACATTCTAGTTTCTAGTTGGTACATCTGAAAACACATACAAGTTTTGATATTATAAGAGTAGAACTTTTATAATATCTCAGACATCTACATCCTGAATCCTTGAATTGAGAGAGAAACATCAAGAATTCTTAACATTATAAGAGCAGAATGCAAGCTTCAAATTTTAACAAGAAAAACCTACCAATAAAAGAAATAGCTAACTTCTGAATGGTTCGCTTTTTTCTATTTTATCCACATAAATACTAGCCAAAATGACATGCTTTCACTTGTTACAGGATTCTTTATGGGAGTATCATATCTTCAATGCTTAATGTTTTGCAATCTTAATCATTGTCTCTTGAAAACATGAGATGTTGATTCTTCATACAATGAAGGATAAGAGAAAAGCCCTCAGAAAGGTACAAATGTGGCTTTATCTGACTATTACATCATTTTCTTTTCCCTTTTCAAGGTTTCTCATTTCAGGGGGTAGGCAGGCCACAGGCCTTAAACTAACCCCTCTGAAAAGGTTTTGAAAAAAAAAATAAACATGTACAAGGAAAGGAGCCTTGAAGCAAGGTGGGACCTTGTAGCAAGAGACATAAGGTTGGGCCTTTAGATGTGTGAGGAGAAAGCCTTGAAGCAAGAGACATGAGCCTCATAAGTTACCATTTTTTTTCAAGGAAAAGAGCAGCATACAAGAAGAACATATAAATGAATAGATAATCATATAAACAAAAACTATAAGAATATCAGGAACTTGAAAACCACTTAATAATTTATAAAGCTTTAAACGTAAAGCAACCTCTTTAAATATGTTCAAACATAAATATAATCATTAAGACATGTATATAAATATACATAAACATATATCCACACACGCATTAGGCGTCTCAAGGTTTTATGCTTTCAGGCATGAGCATCAAGCATTTTTTCCTTAAGCCTCGCATCAAGGCAAGCCTCAAGGCATAAGCTTTTTATACACTGGCCACTACTTTTTTCTTCTGGTTACTGATTACTACTCCTTTATTCATTATTGGACTTGCCTCTCCATCCTCCCTCTGTGGGAAACTCATACCTGGATAAGAAGAAAATACGCAAGACGGTTTAAAAAAGTCATATTGAAAGCCAAAAGGATTTGCTCCACTCTGTTATTCTATGAGGATCAGAATAATGATTTCTTGGCAACATTCTCTCTTGTCTTACAAGGTGGGAATTCAAGGTGCAGCTTTGTCAGAGCCCCAATCCCCAAGAGGGTAAAGTATTCTGAAGATAAGAGAGTTCTGTGGAACAATGCATTGAGATCCAGAAAAATGAGTGTCAAAGAAAAAGGATGCGTTAATCCAAGACTACTTAATCAAGTATACGCTGTGCATGACCTAAGTATTTTAGTGAGTCAGCTCAACAAAAAATACGTTAGTCTGAGGCAGCCAAAGGAAAGAAGAAGAAGAAGAAGAAAAAAACACACTCCTGGTACATGCAGATTGTTGTTACATCGTCCATAGATGATAGTTCTGTCTCTTCTGCCCAGTCCAGAGCCCAAAATGCTCATTTGACATTCATTTCATTCAGCGTCGTCAGTAAAATGATCAAAATCAAGCATTTCATTTGACTTTTCCTAAACAAATTTCTACATATAAGAATACGATGGAGAGTTTAAACTGTGGTAAAACCAGCAATGTGCCAATGTTTTATGATCTCTTTAAAAAAAAAGTTTTATAATCTATTTGGTAACATGAATAACATTGCAGCAAAACCTGCAAAATCTAATTCACCACCAAAAGGCGTCAAATACGTTAGCTTTTTTTTCACTTCATAGAGAAAGAGAAGTCAGGAAGATACATGCCTTCAGGAAGCGTGTGTAAACGAGGCAACCCAGCCGGAATCGAAAAATTACGGTCCTCCGCCGAAAGCGGGCCGTTCCGCTTCTCCTCTACTTCGGCAGCAGCGGCAATCATCATAACATCCGGCAACGAGGCGGACGTTCGTCGGTAATACCCTGCTGCCTTACGCCTCCCATGGTTTCTCCGCTTATCTGCGTGCTTCTTGAAATGCCTCGACGAGTCATCTTTGTCCACCACCTCATCGCCATCTTCACGCTCTCGTTCAACCGTCTTCGCAAACTCCAGTAACTGGGTTAGGGTTTTCCGGTGCATGTAGTAGGCGGAAACGGCCACGAAAGAAGCCCCAAAGAAAGCCGCCATGACCATATGCAGAGTGTATGTATCCATTATAAACTCACTATTTTGCTTATCTCTCTCGCTATCTTTAACTCGGTTCTTCTAAGAGTATGACTGTAAATGGCAGAAACCCTACTCAATACACGACCAAAGAAGAAGGTGGATATAGAGAAAGAGATCGTCTTTATCTGGAAGAGATCATGAGGTTTGTTAGAGTATTTATAACGTGTAAGAAGACAGGAAAGAGGAGGACATATTCCGATGCTGGCTGTGGTATTTTCAGACTGTATGTATATCTGCTTTTGAGCTGGTGGTGGTGGTGGTGGTGGTAGGAAAATTACCTTCCTGCCTTCTCCTCTCTTGTATTTGCATCATCAGCATTCAGCTGTAGCACTTGCCGCTTTTGGATTTCGCGGGAGTGGGCCGGTGGAGCTCTTGGTGGTTGTGGGACCCATGGCTTGGTTCGTACGGAAATGGAATTTTCGATAAGTGACATGCACATCCACCGTGCATTGAAAACATCTCGCGTGAATAATAACAAACAAATACGGAAAGTGCTCCTAGGATGTATGTGAGACGCCTGTGAGCGTTAGGTGTGAGGAGAAGATCCGGTCTCTTGGGATAAGGCGTGGTCCCGTACTCGGAGGTGTGGAACTATGGACTGTGGACGGTAGAGTACCCGGTCCCTCTCGTTATCGCCTGCCTATTCCCTATTGGGACTATTTTGGGGCGAAGCTAAATTGTTTGTGTTTATTTCTCAACCCCGATCTCCTGAAAGCAAAAACCGTCCAAATATCGTGAAAGCACGGCATCTAGCCGCACATCGAGAATATTTATGCGATTTTTTAATTTTAAGAAATTCCGTTTCGTTTTTTCAGACCTTACCTCATGATGGCGCCAGTAAATCATTCGTCCAACGTGGCAAGAATGATGAACATGTGGCAAATAAAACTATTAATAACCCCCAAATATTCTTCCATTTTCACAAGATTCCAAGCTGTGGTTCAATCGGGCTCCTCACAAAAGACATCTTACTGTGTATTGAGAACATCTTTCATGAACAAACATATAAGTACTATTCCCAAAAATCAATGTATGACTTGTGAGTTTGGTGTAAGGAGTGCTCTTGAGTATCAGATTCGGACTCTCTGTGAGTTAAACTTTTTCCATGGCTGTGTTTGGTTGCAATGCAAATTTGCATCTATTTGCTTGTAATTATAATTTGCATTATTATATGATACCAAATTTGTATTTTTGGTTTTTGTCTTAATTTGGAAAGAATACAAATACAAATACATAGAGTGCAAAAATTTGTATTTTGTTTTATTTTGCATGTATTTGCATTGTATATATTTGTAGTTGTACTCTTCCCAAACTGAGCCTTAACTTGGATTCAGTCCTCACACCGCCCTCACAGCCACTTGCAACCGTGTATTGAAAATATCTCCATAATTGTATGTTTTTATTATTCATGGGGAGATATTCTCAATGCACAGCTGCAAAGTGGTTGTGAGTAAGCACCATTTTTGTGAGGACCGAAGGGCTGAAAATCCGGTCTAAATTAGCCTTGTCTCATTTGTATTCAATTCAGTAGCAGTGTTAATTTTGCATCTCAATAATTGATGCAAATTTGTATCACCTTCTTTCTACCTCAATTCCCTTTCATATAAAATTGGGGACTATGGCACTTTGTTTCCTATCTCACTCCCAAACAAATAACCCCTTTACTACCCCTCATTCTCTTGCATTTAAGGTGGAGACCATACTATTTTACTCTTCACAAACAAACAGGATAAATCAAACCTAAAGCAAAAGTAAATCAGGATTTACATAGCCTATTTGCACTCCTGATGGAAGGTGATTTGGCCCGACCTCGTAGCACAGGGACACGTGTGCGTGACCTGGCTCGATGAACAGCTTAGCCTAACAACACAACCATGACTCGACAGGAGGGACCCGCCAAGTCTAACATTGGCCGCTCGGCGGGTTAAGTGACTCGTCGGGGACTAGCGCCCGACCAACCTTGACTCCCACCAAGTGTGGGAGATCCCGAACCCCTCTCAGGGCCCGAGCTCTCCCTTCCTAAGAAGGGAGCACCCCGGCTTTTGGCTAAGTGTCCCGAGGGAGAAACACCTCGGGGCAGCACCATCGAGATTCCTGTTCGAACTTGCTTAAAGATCGCCTCCAATGCGGGCACCTCGGTGCAAGGCAAATCTGCCCCAGGTAGTTCGGTGTACAGTAGCTCGGCGGACTACAGGGAGATCTGCTTGACATCCGTGCCTGCCTGACATCCGTACCTACCGGATCCCTTGCCAGGCGACGTTCTGCCTACCGCCTCTGAAAAGCATGGCATGCCTGTCGAAGTCCGTACCTTGCAGTAGCAGCCTGTAGCAGCAGCCTGCACCTGCCACCTCTGCCCTGGCGGTAACGGCTAGGGCAGTGGCGGTTACACCTGATGTGACCGAGCTCCGGTATAAAAGGACCCCAATCCTCACGAAGCGAAGGTATTGAAGCTAGCACTTTCAGCACTCTTAACTCTCTGTGTCTTCTTTGAGTTTTCCCCTAAGTTCTAACTTAGCCATCGGAGTGTTCCCTCCGAGAGAGCTCCTAGGGAACCCTTCACCTTCTTCTTCCTCTCAGGTGTCGTCCATCACTGCTAGGAACCAACTCTCAGCCAGTTAAGAATGCCCAGATTGTGCTGCACCAACTCCCATGCATTATACTGGTGCAAAATGAAATTGCACTTCAACCAAATGCAGCCTATTAATATTTTGTAAGAAAAAAAAAAAACTTTATTGAAGCTCCAAGTTTAATAAGCACTGCAACATCCAAATTGAAAGAGACTCGAAGTAGTGAACAAGTGCTACAATCATAAAATTGGAAGCTCCATGGAAAGTTAATAGCCCAATATAGAGATCTGACAAAGTATTACAAGACTATGAAGCTCTTATCACCCAATGGTCAAAATATCAATACATCAAATCCCAACGCTTGGGTATGGATGTGTATGGATAAAGTTGATACTTCTTTTTTTTTATATTTTATAAGCATTAGAGGGACATCAAGTAATAGTCGTTAGTCGTTAGGTTTTAAAACCCTTCAACCAGGTGTATATAAATGCATCCATGCTTTTTTTTTTGGTAATTCCTCAAGAAAACAGAACACAAACAAAACAGAAGCAGAGATACCAGGAAGAAAAAGAAAAAAGAAAAAAAAAAGACTAACCACCATTCCACACACACTAAGGTGGCTCCCACACAGCAGAGGTTGAGATTGCATTATCCTTCTGCATCAACCAAAATAACCACGAAGGGGGGCTTCTCCAAACAGAATTCCAACCTAATTCATGAGCACCAACATTCTGAGATCTGTTACAGAATCTGACTTGAAAAGAGAAATCTGCTAGAGTACAGATCTTGTAAAAGAGGCCACAGCAGAGGAGAACAATCAAAAGATCTTTGATTCAGCACAGGTACTATATTAGTTGAGTCACAGTCAATGATGATGCTAGATGTATCCAAATTTTTAGCAGGTAAACAACATTCCAAAATGGCTATCAATTCTGAGAATTCAGCTGAGACAGACTTACACATACCACACCCAGCTAACAAAAAAGAACCTGAATCGTTTGAAATCCAAAAACCAAACCCCCCTGCCCACTATTACAAAAACTGTCATATGTTTTTGCTCTACATGAAGAGGAAACCTTCTAACTTCTAAGAAGGCACACTTTCTTTGCTCACACCAGCTTCAGTTAGAGAAGAATCAGTTGATTCTGGATGGGAAGCTTTCCACACTTCCTTCATCATCCTGTTTACATGAATCAAAGTTACAAATGGGTTAGGCTGCACCTCTTCAAGGACAAATTTGTTTCTTGCATTCCAAATATTCCAGATAATAACAATATATACTTCTAGCAACTGGTTAGGATTTTCGGCATTATGAATGTCCTGATTTAGCCACCAAGTCCACCATTCTGCAAAGCTTCCTAATGAATTTAAATTTAAACAAGCGAGACTCAGGGCCTGTTCGTTTGCTCTGAAGTCTGACATCTGAAAGTGCAAAAATTACATTAAGAGGTATATTGGTATTGGTGAACCTTTCTTTCCTCTTAACTCCGAATGCAAAGAATGTTGTTCTGAATTCTAAAAATGATCAAATATCCATTTTGACCCCATATATGTGAGAGTTTTTGTTTGTCTTTTTGGGGGTATTATTGAAAAACAAAAAGTTGTATGATTGAACTTTAAGAGATAAGAGGAAATGAACAACCATTTTTCTCTTAAAGTTAAAAGATTCCTGTTAAAAGATAAGAGTTAAGAGGAAACAAACAGGCCCTCAAGCTGCTACCAAACCAGGTTGCTCTTGCATGTTCGCATGAAAAGAGTGAATGCAAGATGCTTTCCTCCTCTATTCCACAGAGATTACACAGTGGGTCCAATTTAATTTTTCTTTTGACTAAAACCTGATTCACTGCAATACTGTTGTGGCAGCATTTCCAGATGAAATGCTTAATCTTAGGGGGGACTTTTAAAGCCCAAGTCTTTTTCCATGTTTTTGGGGTCAAGATAACACGACTGCCTCTAGCATTCTAGTTATGTTGAAGGAAGGTAGCCAGATGATAAGCAGACTTTATTGAGAATTTTCCTTTAGGCTATGTTTGGTTTGAAGGAAAAAGGTAGGGAAAGGAAGGGAAAAACAGGGGAACCTATACGAGGTTTGTAAAGGTTCCCCTACCTTTCCCTTCCTTTCCTTGCATTTTCCTTCAAACCAAACATAGACTTATTGTCTAGAGTCCATACCAGTTTGTTTTCACCACCAGATTGCAAATGAGGTTAACAGTGCCTTGGTCAAACAAACTCTGTAACTTACTTACATTCCAGCAATTATTTTGGGGATCGATGAAGTCACTTATATATTTATAAGTCTCAATGCATCCATGCTATGCTATGCATGTGTCTTCAAGTCCACCGATACAGATATAATACATTTAATATGGGGAATATTAATGTTGATATTTTGATTCTTATGCTCAGTTTAGGATGGGTGTGGGTAGGACATCCAAACTGATGTACATACAGGCTTAGCAATGTAAAATACAAGGATTTGTACTGTATACATTTGTATTTGCACTATTTTCAAATTGAGCTTTAGGCTCAGTTCGGAAGAAGTACAAATACAAATATGTACAGTGCAAAACCTTACATTTTTGTGCTCTATATATTTGTATTTGACTCCTTTCAAATGGAGCCTTAATGTTACTAAGTCAACATTTATAAGTAAACAAATCAGATAGTAGATTGGCTTGCAAATATAAAGGATCATATCTAATAACTGGGTCTGTGTCTGGTTTCTGGGTCAAATGATCTAACTGTTTGAATCAAACGGATG